GGCCGGCTCAGCGCCGCTCCAGGCCGCGAGTCTATTTTGGTCGTATTGGTGTCTCGCACTCCTCCCTCTGGAATTCACCCGATTAAAACCTCACCCTCCGCAGCCTTCGCTCGCAGAGGCAGCCGGCGCTCCGGGCCACTCCCCGCTGACCATGGCTGAGCGCGCGGTGCCCCACGCCTACCCCATGAGCACCGAGTATGAGTTCGCCAACCCCAGCAAGATGTATGACCAGAACTTTGGGGAAGGTAAGGAGCAGGATGGGGCCCTTCCAGGTCCCTGCCGGCATCCCTGCCGCTCCGGTTGCTCCTGTTGGCGCGTGGAGCGCATCCCTTGGGAGGCTCCCCTCCTGCGGACACGCTAAGCCCCATGCATGGCAGGCAGGAGGGGGAATGACAGGAGCCTCTAGAATGAGGGTCACTGTGTTTTGCATCTCCTGGCTCCTTGTCCCCTCCTGCTTCGCCCCTTCCTCCCACATCTTCTCCTTGTTTGTGCCTAGGCAGCAAATGCCAAGCCAAATCCTGCCCCTGCTCCCTTGATGCATGCTCTCCAGCCATCCATAGACAGTCTGCTTGGCCCAGCAAAGCGCCAGGCACTCAGCCAAGACCTGCTGTGGCCCCCAGAGGAGCGTGTGGCTGCGTGATTGCAAGGGGGGGTCCCCAGGCTGTTTGGAGAACTTGGTTCCATGTCTTAACTTGTGAAGGGGTGTCTTATCGAGGGAGCTTCCACCCCTTCCTCTGCCGCACACCTTGGCACCGGGGATGCTCACCTGCCCAGGCCAGGATGGGACAGGACAGCCCATTTTGAAATGCAGCTGGCAAGGCCTAGGTTTAGGGGCATTTGCAAAGTGCTGGCCCAGGGGACATGGCTGTGGCCTTGGGGCAGCAGGGAAAAGCTGAGCTGGGCCATTGTGCACAAAGGCAGAGCAGCAGCAGGCAGCCCTGAAAGAATGCAGGAGGCAGCAGAACCATTCAGCGCCAGCCCGGCTGGGGGGAAGGCAAAGCCCACAGGACAATGCCACCCAGGGGGATTTAGTCCTTCGTGCCAGTCTGTCTCCAGTCAGCACTTTCTATGCCTGTCCTGCCCTGGGACCGGGCTTCATGCAGCACCCACTGCCCAGCCATTCCCTCTTCAACCCGAAAGCTGGGTGCCAGCCCCTGGCTGGGGTGGGTGCCATGGGGCTATGCTCTGTCCACATGGCACCCATGCTACCCATCAGCCCAGCCAGCTGCACCTGCAGCCAGATACAACCCCTGACTTGGCCAACAGCAGCACTGGGTGGATGGCAAAGGGTTGTGCCCATGAGCGGCACTGCTGCAGTTTGATGCACGGGAGGGCAAAGCTGTTTGCAGCCTGCACAGAGCCAAGAGCTGCCTGCCATGTCCCGGGTTCTTCCCCCCCTGTCCTCCTCTCATCCTCTGTGCTCACCTTGGTCCCCTGCGAGTGCTACGAAACCATCTCCTCCTCATTGTGTCTCTCCCAGGCTTGTCCCCATCTGAGATCTTGGCCCCCACCCTATACCACGGCTACTACATCCGGCCCCGGATCAACAAGCAGCTGGACAGGGGCATCTCGGAGATCAGCCTCAACGACCACAAGTTCCAGGTGTTCCTGGACGTCTGCCACTTCCTTCCCGACGAGCTCGCTGTCCGCACCGTGGACAACCTGCTGGAGGTGACGGGGCAGCACCCCCAGAAGGCCGACCGCCACGGCTTCATCTCCCGCGAGTTCACCCGCACCTACATCCTCCCCATGGATGTTGACCCGCTGCTGGTTAGAGCCACGCTGTCCCACGACGGCATCCTCACCATAGTGGCTCCCAGGACCGGGAAGGAGGTGAAGGCCAGAGTCAACGAGGTGCAGATAACCCGCCAGGAACAGCCCCCGGGACAGGCAGAGTCCCCAGAAGAAGGGAAGGGGAATGTCAAGCCCTGAGACATCCGGGCACTTTGCTTGAACTGGGGGTGGGGGGTGAGTGTGGTTGTGCCAGGCACTGCCGGCTTGGGGGGTGCATGCCAGAAAGGACCCCCACTCCTGAAGGCTGCTTCCTACAAAAGGGGGCATGCAGTGGAGCGATAGAAAGAGGGGAGAATGATACCAGGGGAGCGGGGCACTGTAATGTCCGGCTGCTCCTAGTTCAAGCACTGCTCAAACAGATGGAGTCCAGGCTACTTTACCTGCTCGGCCGTTCAGAAGGGACCAGCATCCCCTCCTGCCATCAGCTGCCCTGCTGTGTTGCTGTGGGTTGTTCACCAGCTGCTGGCTCTGCCCCAGAGGTGGCTGCATTTCAGGGGTGGGCGGTGGATCTGTAAAGCGGCGGCTGACATTTGCAGAAGACTTTGGGGGCTGCAAGGCCCTGACGGTATGTAAACGTCCCAGCCACTCTGCCGAGAACAAGGAATAAATGTGGCTCCAGCCCCTCCTGGCTTGCTCTCCATTCCTATCGCTCGTGTTAGGGAGGTACCGCCATGATCCCTGAATGCAACAAGAAACCTGCATGGCCTGATGCTGCCCAGGAGACCTGCTGTAGCTGTATGAGCTTCAGCGGCCTGGCCCAGTGGGTGCATCTGGCCCTCCAGCTGCTTTCGGCAGCCAAGGGTTCATTGGCCATGATGCTACAGGGTGCAAGGGGAGCGTCTCCTGAGTCTGATGGTGTCAGAGGGGGATTGTGTGCATTGGAGCCTGCTGCAGCTGCCGCGAGGCTGGGTGCAGGGAGCCGGTAGATGGCACGCGCCTCCCCCTCCTGCGCCAAGTACAGCAGCTGAAATGCCTTGTCATGGGCTGCACATGGGGGCCCTGGCACACCTGCATGCAGGGACAGGAGTCCTCTGGAAGGTGTCACCCAGAATCAGAGGGTCTTTTGCTTGCATCTGCATCTGCAGATGAGGCCTGATTCTCAGCTACTCTAAGGCACCTGCCCAAATGGCAGCCGATGGATCCTTGGGCCCACGTGGCAGCTGCAGAATGGGTTCCTTGGCTGTGGGGGAAACTGGCACAGGCCTGGCAGCTGGGAGAGGGGTGCACACTGAGGGCAACGCAGGCGTTGGGTTGGAGTGAACCG